AGGGTAGGTTACAACAGTAATTAGATTTTGTATCCAGTCTGAGCCCTTAATACTCTTACAGTCCCCCGAAGAATGGGATTAGTAAACCCTATTACCTAATGTACTTTCTACATTGTTATCATGAAAAGCAGGTACGAAAGTGTGAGCAAGAGAAAGTGTACATTCGACAAAGCTACTATACTCACACGTTAACATATACATGTGCATAATGTATTAAATGTCACCATCAACCAACTTACTGGTAAATCTATCAAAGTGCACAAGGAACATCAGCACAAGCGCACTCTTTATTGCATGTCTTAAACCGGGCATTGAATCCTATGCAAGATATGTTGCATTGGATTTAAAAAGGATTGCAATGTGTGCTGTGCTGTTGGACAATACAGAATGGAAAAGCACTACAGACCAGAAGATGAGATACTATTTTATTTCTACCTGTCTTTTGTTTCAGGCTTAAGTATGGTAGCCATGTAGTACATTTTCAACCAGTAGACGGTGTGAAAAGGAAAGATGTTTAGGAACGTAAATGTATCCTCTCGCTGTCTAAATAGCAGCCACTTCAGCCAAGACTGAGCAGGACTACTTACTCTGACAGGGAGACTGTCACAGCATTGCAAGGCAGCATAGCCTTACCCGGAGGTAGCCAACTCATTTTGTAGTGTCATCTCTCGCCTCCAGTGTCTGGGTTTCAAATCCTGCCCCCTGCTGTGCGTGAGTGGGGTTTACATGTTCCGCTTGTTTGGCTTGGGTCTCCTTCTGGAATCCACTAACATGCAGTTAAGCAAACTGGAGTTTTTGGGGTCAGCGTGGGAGTGCATGCGTGCCTAGCGATGGATAGGCATCCCATCCATTTGTGGGACAGGCTCCAGGTTCTCTGTAACCCTGTACTGGGTAAACTGTGTTTTGTTCCATCCATCTGGATAATCTGAACTCGAAATGACCTTCCTGATATTCTTCAATTTCTTTTTACACTTGTGTCATTGGAAGTCCTGAGGTGTCGTGTTTCGCTCTCGTAAAGGAGAATCGGCAGTCAGTTTTTCACCTGGATGCACCAAAGGTGACGTACCCAAAGTAACTACGTCAGCTTAGGTCACCATGTGTCCAGCTGTGGAGATGCATGGAAGATGCTGCAATAGAGTATAGTAATTAACAGGCCCGGGCTACATTGCATCTTGCATTGCAAATGCTTTATTTACTTATTTAGAAACATAAGTAATGACTGATTGTGAAATTCCCCTCGACAAAAGAGCAGTAGTGAAATTTGGTCCCATGCTGCCTGGAATGTCTCAGCCCACGGATGGCTGCTTCTGTGATTCTTTATTCATCTGAGAACAATGAGCTTTATCATGTCCTTCCGATTGTGATCTCAAAATATGTCGTACGACAGACATTCAAAAGCTACTTTGTGGCTAATCTCGGCTGGTTCACTTTTTATTTGTCCGGCGAGTGTTCAGATTTGATTTCTAACAAAAAAAAGGAACTTTCCTTGTGCCTTTTCTCCCAATCCTGTCATTTTGAAACACCCTGCCCAATATCTACCACTTTGCAGTTCAAACAGTTTTGTACCAGGATTGTAACAGTGCACAATATTCATGGTTCAGTACCATCCTCGGTTTTTGGTTCACGGTTGTCCAATTTCAGTAAGGCGGGAAAACAGAATTTATATGGAAATGATTTATTATTAAAACTGCAAACACAAGCACAATGAGGACCAGTTGTAAACCAAAGCCAATGTGTTGACATGTCTGAACAAAACCTAAGACATATTTTTTACAATGTGCAAATTATTAAACAAAAATTCCAAAATAAGACTGCATCATAACAATCATCATGAGTAAAATCCTTTCTGAATCCTATCTTCTCTACTACAGAATTGAGTTTCATTGTAACAATCAACACCCCTAAAAGCCATAATTATTGTTTTAACCTGCCCTGAATTTCCTGGTAAAAGCACCTTAACTTGTAGCTGCAGTTTCTGCTTCACTCCGGTCACACACACACTCAGGTGATGTCATCGTTAATGAGTTAGCCCATTGGTTGTGTTTCCAACATCATACCCAACTTTGGTATAACACAGAGCCGACAGAGTCTTGGTCTTAACTGCTCTCTTTCCAGAGCTAGTGTAATGTATAGGGAAACCATAATTTCCCCCAGCTACCAATTCTGACATTGTAACTAGGATTAACCATAACCAAGTTACAGTCATAGTTAGCATGTTCTCCATGTTGAACATCTACTTGTGAATTTAGGTTTTGCCCATGTCAATAAATGCCTTTTATTCATTTTATTGTGGGAAGCAAAGTGAATAGGATGTACCTACCTAAGGTACACGACGAATACCTGTACCATTACAGCCCTCTTTTGTGCACTTGCAGATAGTGAAGCCCATTTACCTTCAGATTTCTGTTCCATTTGAATGACTTAACCTGTTTCATTCTTCGTGGTACTTCTATGCTGTTATTATGCAGGTTGCTTTCCCATCAGAAAACCTGATTGTAGTTGTGGATTTGATTCTCACCCCTGGCGCTGCTGAGGAGTTTGTGTGTTTACTTGGGTTTTTCCCAGAAGGTTTTTTCCTCCCTCAATCAAAAAACTCGTGTCTCCGAGCGGGATTACTTGTGAGCAAGGGAATAGATATGGGTATGAACAGTAGGGACATGTTGGTAGAGACATGTCCTACCAGTATGATAGGAGTGCTGTGCCTGTTTTAGGGGGTGGGGGGTTCAGGGCTGATTTAGTTCCAATCAGTGTTGAAACCAGACCTACACTCCTGCATGTGAGTGTGAATGCACTGTGGTGGACTGAGAGTGAGAGTGATCCTGGCTTAAAATTTTCTGGTCCAATCCACCACATTTCTTTTCCCACTATAGTAGGGCTTAGTGCACCTATTAGTTTATGTTCGGTTTTATGCTATTTATCTGTTTTTGGTGTCTTTTTTGTCTTAGTATTTTTTAATGACTTGAGAATAGCAAAACAGTGTGTCATTGTACTGAACGTATAATGACAATAAAGTTGCCTTCATTTCATTTAATTTCATTTCATCCATTCATTCATTGGACTCGTGTCCTATCAAAGGCATCCCCTGTACGTCCTGGGATCAGCTCCAGGCTCACTGTGATCCTGCACTGGATAAGCAATTATAGGAACTGGATAGGCAGGAATGCAATCCAATTGCACAGCAATCATGTGACCATAAATCATGTGACCACTGATGTATGTGACATTGCAAATGTGTAGGATTAAAATGTATAGCATTGCGATTGTTTGATTTTACAGTTGTGTTTGAGTGTGACTTAGAATGGGGTCAGGACGAGTTTGGCATATGGTGGGACAGCCTAAAGGGTAAAATAATAGTAAAATAGTTAAATCCGTAAATGCAGGGAGGACGACGGTGTGGCCCAAGTGCGTGTGTGTACATAATGCCATGAACCTCGTGATCCTCCAGAACACAGGCAGCATTCGCGCCTTTCTGTGGGCGTGATGCGTCTGAAATCCCAAAGACAATGGCCCATTTAGAGTCGGCGACGCTGACAGCAGGTCATGGTTTGCTTGTATGAATGTCTGCCTTGCCCTTTGTAATGAGAGCTGGCTGGGCATCACCATTCTGTCATTTAACACATCCTCCTGTTGTGGGAGCAGCTCAGTGACCAGAGACTTTCAGTTTGCTGGTATATTGCTACTGTACATCTCATCTGTTCACAATCTGAGGCAGTGTTTCCCAATCTGGTTCTAGGTGACCCACAGGCAGTCCACGCTTTTGCCAGGAGCTGGGAGGGAGCAAAAATGTGGACTGTCTGGTAGGGAGCTTAGAGGGAGCAAAAACATGGACTGACTGTAGGTCCACGAGGACTGGACTGATAAACACTCTTCTAAGGGAATATACTAATGGTCCAGTGTCCATTTTGGAGTCACTAAATTGCCCAGAGAGTATAATTGCTTCTGTGAGTGTATTCATGTCTGTGCCCTATGATTAATAGGCAGGGTGCCCCCCAGCTTTGTGCCCTGTGTTGCCTGAGGTAGGCTCCAGGCCCCCATCTCCATGACTCTGATCAAGATATATAATGGTTGGTAGGTGGGATGAACTGGTAGTGCATACCATGTAACCTGCTGGTTTGCAAGCCCTTGTAGGGCTATTTACAATTTCCTTTTGGTTCAGTGTAGCTTGATATTACACGGAAACCCTTCCCAACATGTAGCCTTTGACCCTTGACCTCATGTCTCCTGAAGCGAGGACACATTTCACCTGGCTTCCCTCCACTGGCTGCTTGCAGTTTCTCTAGATTTCTGTACATCCACAGGACACATTGACACAATGTGCTGCCATATCTAAAGTTCCTATTATGTGTCGAATGCCATTTTATTATGCTAACTATGCTGGCTAGTGGGTACAATTTTAGGTAATTGAATGAATGTAAATAAACCCACATAGCACACATACGTTGAAATGACTCCATATGATTCCATATCAGACAAAAAGGTTGAAACAACATTGATCTTCAATCTTTCACTTTATATCAACATTGAATCAAGGTTTTGCCACCATCAATTTTTCGTTATTGAAAATCTGCCCGAAAATCAATTCAGTTTCAACGTTGATAATTTAACACTGACCATAATTCAATGTATTTAACTATAATTCAATGTCGAAACAAAAAAATGATGCTATCTGGGAAGCTATTAAGATGTCAATTTAGCTTATGGAAAAAACACTCATTCGACTGAAGATGGAATGGAGTTTGAGGACCACACAGAAAACCACCAGCTCTCTTTCCACAAATAACATGCTGGAGTTACTAGGAGCTATTTGTATATATTGGCATTTTGGCTCCCATTGGGTAGAAATACTGTGTGTGTGCAGTTCAATATACAGAATCAATCTCCCAGGGAACTGTATCCATAACTGGTCCACTGAAATATAACTAGCTTTTATCTTACTTCAGCACAATGGGTGCATGGTTGTTCTGACACTAAAGCTCCATCTCTCTCCCAAACCTACCCAGGATTGCCAGTTGATAGCTATGGGGACTCCCATCTGGATGGAGTTCTGGCGAATATCACAGTGCGCCAAGGGGAGACTGTCTTCCTCAGGTTTGTGACACATTCTGATCGCTTGCTGCTGAATTATTCTTTTGTGCTTATAGTTATTTGTGTAATTACTGTGTAATTGCATTGTGACCATCTGAATCTATGCTAAGGAAGTAACTTAATATGAAATTAGATTAAGCTGAGACAAAAAATATTAATCAGTTCATCTTAATTGGTCGATTACAATGTAAATAATATGAATTACATGGTGAATCATTAATTTTCTGCAGAGATGTAGTACCGGAAGTTTCCTGCAGAGGTCGCCCATGGATCATTATTGTCCATGGTTATCATTTCTGTTACACTCACTATAGCAGGGGTGGCCAATCTTATCCGCAAAGGGCCGGTGTGTATGCGAGTTTTCGCTGCAACTCCCTAATTAGATTACTAATTCGAGGACTGATTGGCTGAGGAGTCCTCACACCTGGGTTTGAACAGCTGTCCTACAGGTTATCCCAAAAACCTGCAAACACACTGGCCCTTTGTGGATAAGACTGCCCACGCCTGCACTATAGAGTGTGTATCTACTGTTGCTCACCTTGTCTTAGAGATTTGCACTTAAGCAACTTCAATGCACTTTTCACAGACTTTTAATCTATTTTTTTTTCTTGTCTAGGTATAGCATTTAAAGAAAAAAGATAAATTTTGCAAGCATATTGTCCCTCTCCGATGTTAATGCGGGAGTCTGACGCAAAAACATCTGGGCTCACACCTGACAGTGTGACTGTGTGTCTCACAGCTGCCTTGCTTTTCTTCTTACCCTCTTATTTTTTATTTTCAGATGTAACGGAGAAAGAGAGTCAATATAAAATATCGTCTGTCTTGACGTCTGTCTAAAATCCGTCTTCTGCTCTCATATCTGTCCTCTGACCCTCTGTTACATTTTTAAGTTACTTTTTTTTCAGAATTCTGGATTAGCTATCATATACATTTATTGATTGGTTAGGAATTTATTATGTGATTTTAGTGGTCACACAGACATATGTTGGCTGTAAATACTAAAAATAAAATAAAAAGAAATGGGTTTTCAAAATCTCTTTGTGTGTGTGTGTGCGTGTGTGTGTGTGTGTGTGTGTGTGTGTTGGGGGGGGGGAGGTTGCATAGATCACATTTGGGGACCAAAATGTCCCCAAAGCGTGGTAAAATCTGAAACTTCCTTACTTTTGGGATGCACTAAATAGTAAGAATGCCAAAAGTCTTGTATTTTGTTTGGGTACTTATCTGTAAGGTTAGACCTGGGTAGGGGTTAAGGGTGTCGTGATTGGGATTAGGGTTAGGGTTAGGGTCATGGAAATGAATGGAGAGTCCCCACAAAGATATAATTCCAAACGTGTGTGTGTGTGTGTGTGTGCCCGCGCACATATCCCATCCAGGGCAACCCCTGCCTTGTGCTGCCTGGGATAGACTCCAGGATAAGAGTTTGGAAGACACTTTGATGGATACTGTGTTCATTCAGTGAACTAACGGACTTCTTTCCCAGAAACTCCTCATGACTGAGCTCACAATGCCAGTTCATCGGTGCGGTTTCTATTTTTATTCTGATAACTGCATGTGGCGTGTGGTTTCCTGCCCCTGTGCAGCATCATATCGTTCCAATTTCAGTGGCTCCAGCTGTTCCCAGATAAGGCCCCAGGGTAGTAAGTCACCCGTGAACAACAGCAGGGGAGACAGCATCATCCTGCAGGTGCTTCACAGTCAGCGATTTGTCGACGTCAGCAAATTGGCCTATCAAAAATAAAGCTCTCCCTATTTTCATTCCCTTGATTTTATCTCAAAAAGGCTTGTTTTTTATTTTATGCAATATTGGATTTTGTCGACGACCGGACGTCTGAAACTTAATTCTTTTCTCTGAGATTGATCATCTGAACAGCTTGGCATCCTATCCAAGGAGTTCCTGCCCCGTGCTTCTCAGGAAGGGCTCTGGTCACCCTGTCACCCTGTACTGGATAAGCAGATGGAAGATGGGCTGATAGATGAATATCTCAACATTTCAGCATCTCTGTGACTGAATATCTTCAGAGGTGAGTAGTTCATGTCAAGAAAGTAAAAGTCCAGAAAAAGTCAATTTTCTTTCAACTAACTAGCTGAGTACGTATTGTGTGACTGTGATTCTTTATACTCAACTGGTTGATCAAAGCAAAATCTTGCTCTGGACTTTTTTTCTCTCTGAACATGAACTACCCACCTCTGAATATCTTACTGTATTTATGTATCAGTCCTGAACAAAATGCATCGCAACACTGTTTTCCTCTAAACAGAATGACGATTGCAGTGATCCACTGAGAAATGTGCACCAGAAGAACGTGGTCATATCCTGAGTTTATTAAAAAGGCCCTGTGAGGCTACTGATTAACTCTTCAATTATCTACCCTAATTTGGAGATCCTCTTTCCTGCGCAACATATAGCTTATCCTCTATTCACTCCACATAATTGCTGATTTGTAGCCTGTATGAGAAGGGATTAACACGTCAAATGATCTTTTATTGTCAACTTCAGACATGATGTATTGGAGTCACACGCTGAGGTGAAATATCATCCTCTTTGGTCACGATATGACATTTTAAGACATGGCCATATCATAATACTGTATATAGACGAAAGAAATACACTTAACTACCTGATTGGTGGGGGAAAATGTGCAAATTTGGTATGGAATCAAATGAACAGAATGTGCAATAAATAATGACAGAGCGGTCCTAGCAATCTTCTCCACAATTTTGATGACCGGCTGGAGGGACTGGTAGTCTGACATTTTGCAGGGCTCAAACCAGTCCGTGATGCAGTTTGCATGGACAACTTTGATGGTGCCTCTATAGGAGATGGACAGTCTTGCCTGTTTCAAGCGCCACAGGACACTTTCTTGGTCAGGGAGGTTACATGCTGGTTCCAGGGGAGTTCCTCAGTGAGGTGCACACCCAGAAATGTAATGCTCTTAGAGCCAATGATGTATAAAGAGTTTTACTCCCCCTAGGTTCTTCTGAAGTCCACAATGTTTAGCACAATGTTACCACCAGCTCTATTGCCTTGTGTCTGCATGCAGACTCATCTCCTTCACCAGGCCAATAGTGGTGGTGTTGTCTGCATACTTAATGATGTGGTTAGAGGTGGTCGAATGCCAGGCACGTGAATAGTTGGGGGCTAAGGCAGCAGCCATGGGGAGTTCCTGTGTTCAGAAGTGATGATGTCACCAACCTGATAGACTGTGGTCTCTCTATCAGAAAGTCCAGGATCAAGTTGCATAATGATGTTTTCAGGCCAAGCTGGGACAGATTTTGGAGAAGTTGTTCGATAGACGATCGACATTCTTGCGTTCTTTGTTTTTATTGTCCCGGTTTTTCAGTATGGTGTGTAGGGCCTAGGTTATGGTAGATCAGTTGGAGTGGTATATGGATCGGAGGAGGCAGGGAGGTTCACTTTAATGTGTCCCATAACTAGCCATTCAAAGCACTTAATTACAACAGAAGTGAGAGCTATGGGTCGATAGTCATTAAGCACTGAAGCAGTTGTCTTCTTAGGCACTGTATGATTGTAATGGTTTTAAAGCACTCAAGGATAAATGCTTGTCTGAATGAGGTGTTAAGAATGTCTGTCAGAACATCTCTCAGTTCATGAGTACAGTCCCTGAGAAACCTACCTAAGATATTGTCAGCACCAGCCACCTTACTGAGGTTCACTGTACACTGGGTGCTCCTTACTTCTGCTGTATGTAGGTGGAGTGTCTTTTCAGTGGTTGGGGGGGGGGGGTGTTCTTCTGTTGCTTGCTGTGTGTGCCACATTAAACTGGGCAGGGCTGAGCCTGTCAGGGAGGCAGGTATCACAATCCATGGTATGTGAGGAGGACTTGTAATCTGTGAAGGCCTGCATTCCTTGCCACATACATCTTTTAGTGTGTCTTTAGTGTCAAGGATATGGTTATAGATTTTTTTGTGTATAAGCCCTTTTTGTAACTCTGATGGCCTGGGACAGAGCAGCCCTAGTTGGGCAATAACATGTAGTAATAGCTATGATGGGGTCAATCAGTTTTATCAAGTTGGGGGGGTGGGTGTTCTATCTATATTCCGATTAGCCACGCAAGCATTGCAAGCAATATTAAAATTGTAACTTTTTATTGTATACCTTTTGTAATGTTATAATATCTTAAATTAGGACCAAATAACACAAATACATAGGCACATGTAAGCCTATATGTTAACAACGAATTAGCATATTGCTTGAAAATTCCTGCAAAATACGATATACCATGGTCTGAATGATGACTATGAAAAAATACATAGCAAAACTATGTGTGCTAGAAAACAATGCAGAAAAATGCACGCAAGGGAGGAAGACTAAACACAAAGTGAAAAATGCAAAGCAAACAAGCCATGTAAGTAGGCTTGGGCAGTATTTAATTTTGAGCTAGTTAATTATGAACATTTAACCAATCAGTTCTGGAACACATCAAACCAAAACTCTCATTAGAGGAAAATATAACAAAATAAAAGCTCTTCTACTCTGGTCACGTCATGCAAAGCAAATCACTGGAGAAGGATGTTGCAAAAGAGGAAGAGGATGCACAGGAACTCACTGGCTAGATACCATCACCGATGACACTGGACTGAGCAGCAGAACTGAAAGAATTCGCAATGGATCAGAAAACATGGAAGGCATTGATCCATAGAGTGACCGAGAGTCGTACTCGACTGAACGGATGATGAATAACAATGAATAATATTTAACCAAGATAGATTAAAACGCGAACAACATAATGCACAACATAAAATGAAAAGAAACACTGAAGACAGGCACAGACATTTGTCTGTAATGATCGGATGGCAGTCACTTTTGAAAAGAGCATGTTATTTGTACCGGATATTTGTTTCAAAAAGATATTATGCTCACCCTTAGCATTTTACATTTCTCTGGGTAACTGTTCCCAGCGCCTCCTAGTGGTCAGCCAGCATGACGGGCTAGTGTTTATTTCAAAGTGTTTCTCTTTCGTGCGTTTGTAAAACATACTTTTAATATTTGTGCACAGTGAGCAGGCTGGAAAAAAGAGTGAGGGCGGCAGGATACGTCCGGCAGGATGTAGTTGCCCATCATGGCTTAGGGCCACAGGATCACCAGACCTGAAGGCCAAGTTCCGTGCTTATTTTGTGATGTTTATTGTTCTCGGTGTAAAAGACATTCGGCATATTTGTATGTGAGCCAAAAACCAAACTAAATGAAATGATCCCATTTGTAGTTCAGAACGATAATGCGTTTTTTTTGCATACACTCACACACACATTCCCAAATAACAGCGTCTTAACAGTTGCTAAAAGTATTTGCATCTCTCAAAGCATCGCTGTCTTGTAAAGCTTCATAAATCTGCCAGTTGGAAGAGACAGTGAGTGAGCTGATGTTGTACCCTGTAGAACTCCCGGTCTGCGGGCTGGGAGGGAGCAAAAAAGTGGACTGTCTGAGTCCCCGAGAACCGGATTGGGAAACACTGCCATAGACTGTTTTAATGCACCATGTTTGACAGCATTAACCTGTGCTGGGCTGCGGAGTCTGATCCAGTCTCCCTGAGAGAGTAGTCACGTAGTCCTTAGAACTTTGGCTCAGTTTTATGGAAAGACAAAAATCTCTGATCTGTAGGGGCACTTTGGCAGTGATATAGACGATGAGGTGGGCCTTGTGATTTAAAGACAAGCCCAGTTAGACAGAGGCTAAGGCTAGCCTACTGATACAAGGGCAGACACACTGGCAGGGATGCCAATATTTCAGGGACAGCAATAAAAAGGAGATACGATGCCAGCCCATGCCAGCTCCTGTTCGCTTTGTTAGATTTTGTGATCTTCCTGTCCTCTTGGGCATACAATTAATATGGGATTTTTCACTTTTATTTGCTTATGACAAATCTATGAAACTTAGCTTGTACATTTTTTAATGAAAACTAAAACTGCAGTATCCAATTGTTGCATTGCTGTTTATAGCTGTGATGATGTGAGAAAATCCTGTTTCTTGCCATTGTATTTGTCCTTGCGCGGTTACATTTGATCAAAAGGTTTTTCTGAGACTCTTGGAATGATGTTTATGTAGCAATTTTTGTTCACCTCACATACCTGTGTGTTCCTCCCCCAGAGATCCCTAATTATCTTCTCAATTCATGTAAATTATTGCTGAAGAGAACACGCGTGTGTGTCTCTGCTGTTGTTCTCCAGGTGCCCACAGGATGATGAAAAAACTCTCTCAGCCTGGCTGAACCGCACAAATCTTCTCTACACGGGAGAGACAAAGTGGACGACTGACCGGAGAGTTAGCCTGGAGCTCCTGAGCAGGAGTGAGTTTGTCATCAGGATCGATGATGTGGGCATTCAAGAGGATGGGCAGTACGTCTGTGTGTCACAGACCCCCCGTGGGATGCGGAAGACAGTGGTTTACGTTATTGTCCAAGGTACGTCATACCCCTTCACCAATATTTCACATGAAATCTCACGACATCTCCTGCTAGGTCTCCAACACCAGTGTGGAACATCTAGATTTGCTCTGGAGCGCCACACAACCCAAATGGAAACCTGGTCAACTGAAACATGAATTACAACAAACATCTACCCAGACATCTCTTTTCCATATCTGCTTGTTAAGGAAATATGAAGCCAAAAATCAGTCGATGAAGTGCTGGATTCAGATTATGAGAGTAGTGTTGAGATGTTACAACATGTAGGGGAACCGTCCACTGGCCTAATGGCGGAATCCAATTGGACAGCCGAAGGCTTGGAATGCGTGTGGGTCCTTCCGAGCGCTCCTGTAAAGTTACTTACCCGTTTTAGGTAAAGACCGAATTATATCTGACTCTGATTTAATTAAAGATCCTTATACCAATTTTTGTCATGACATTTCTGTTCTTTAGATTACCGAAACAAAGATCAACCTGTATCATAATGATGGAAAGAAAAAAGTATGGAAAAGGGCTGGAACAGCTTATGATCCAAAGAACACTGCATCATCTGTAAACATGGTGGAGGCAGTGTGACGGCTTGGGCGTGCATGGCTGCCAGTGGCACTGGGTCTTTAGTGTTTCTTGATGATGTGACCCAGGATGGAAGCAGCCGAATAAATGCTGAGGTGTTCAGAGACATCATGTCTGCTCAAATCCAGCCAAATGCAGCCAAATTGATTGGACAGCGTTTCATAATACTGATGGACAATGACCTAAAACACACAGCAAAAGCAACCCAGGACTTTATTAAAGCAAATACTGTAAGTGGAATATTCTCGAATGGCCAAGTCAGTCACCTGAGTCAACCCCATCGATCATGCATTTCACTTGCTAAAGACTAAACTACAGACAGAAAGACCCTCAAACAAACAGCAACCGAAAGCTGTTTCAGTAAAGGCCTGGCAGAGCATTAAAAAGGAGGAAACCCAGCGTCTGGTCATGTCCATGAGTTCAAGACTTCAGGCAGTCATTGCCTGCAAAGGGTTTTCAACTAAGTATTACAATTGAATATTTTATTTGGAGTTATATTAATTTGTCCAATTACTTATGAGCCCCTGAAAGGAGATTGGGTAGGAAAATTATTTTAGTTCCCCACATTTTTATGCAATGTTGTTCTACCCACTGAATTAAAGCTGAAAGTCTGCACTTCAAATGCATCTGACTTGTTTCTTTTAAAATCTATTGTGTTGATGTACAGAACTTAAAAATTGAAAAACTTCGTCTCTGCCCAAATATTTATGGTCCTGACTGTATTTATTACGTAACGTGTACACATGTGTTTTATATACAGCACACACAGGATATACATGGTTTAGCAAAGCTGTCATTGGTCATTGTGAAGTAAAGCATCTCTGTAGTTTGTTACTAATTTGGTGATGTAGAGTACTGCTGCTTCTCTTTCTCCCTCCCCTCAAGTCCCTCCCAAGATCACATTTTTAACGGAGGACATGGCACTAATGGAGGGCTCCGACGTCAGTCTGATGTGTTCCGCCAGCGGAAACCCCGAACCCACCATAAGCTGGAAACGAGTGTCACCCACAGGTATGTGTCACGACGGCGGGATTTCTCCTCTCTCGGTCGCACACATGCTCTGACCCACTCTCCTTTGCCCCATTTCCTTAAAGTCTCTTAACAGTTGAGTTGCTTCCTGTGCATTTTTGAAGCATTTATTGAAATCTGAATTACCATGAGCAAAAGGTGGATGACGAGTTGGTTGTTATTTGTTTGGGGACTGTAAGTACAAGGCTTCTCTGTGGACAGTGTGGAAAGTTGTTTTTTTGTGATCCACATTTTTTAGTTCTTTTCAAAAATAAAAGTCACTACAAACATTGTTAAATGGCACAATAATACCTATAATAATAATAACAAACATAATGGTATTACTACTAATGGTAGTGATCGCAAATCAGAGAATGAATACAAAGGACATAAAGAGAAAAGAACGAGCATGAGGGAGGAGGGAAGAAGGGAAGCTACATATATGAATATCAGTACATTTGTAAAAAAAAATAATAAAAACAAACAAAAGAAAAAACAAAGAAGTAGGATGACAAATATTTGGAGAGTTAATGCAGTTTTTATTTTATTATTTGTTATTTTTATTATATGAAATCACAATCAGTAGAGGAATAGCCTTAAGGGGATTATGAAACAACAATAACAACAGCAATAATAATAATAATAATAATAAAGTACTCTACCGGAGTTTTTATATTATCCCTTCTCAGGGACAAGCCAAAAATGGGAATTGTGTACAAAAGAGAAGCTTGACATAAGCAGCAGTTTCGACAGGGATTAAAAAACTGACACCCGCGTTGGGCTTGTGCTTTTCCTCGCTCTTTGCTCTGCCGTGCTGGCAGGTGCTTTCACCATCTTACAGTTCAGACTGCCAGAGATTTTTTTGTCCCTCATCTGTGCAATGGATATGTAAATATTTAGATTTTGTTCCAGCTGAAACAACACCTGCTTTCATGTCGAGGGTCCATTCTCTGGCCCGATTCACTGAGGAAAGGATAACAGACAGATGGTACCAGAAAGGGCGCATTAAACATGGCAAGTCAGGGTCACTCCTTTGGAACATTGGGATAACAGTTATGGATCTAATCAGCTTCCCATTATTGGCTGTAATATTGGAAATTAAAGAGTTTTGGCATCAAACAAAGACACATTAAAAAAACAAGCTAAGTGTTTCTGGCAGAAAAGACTCTGCAAAAGTGCATTGTTCAGGGTTTATTGGGGTTTGGCCTAGATATTTCTGTGGGATACCTTTTTAACTGCAGTGGTCTAAGGTGGGGCACAGTATTCCCTGGGGGGTCTGGGGGAGTTGTCTGTAAGAGTAGGGGTGCATGGGGTACCTGCTAAGGCAGCATTAAATGTAACACTGACCTTTTGCATGTCACCACAGGGTGGAGTAGGGTGTGCTTCCAGTCAGTTTACCACATGGCTAGCAGATGGTATCCCGCTAATTTTCACAGATTTTGCCCAAGGTTTCGTGGAGATATACAGCAAAGAGTGTTTTCGAGGCATGAAAGTAGTTGTTTTTCCGTTACTGAGCTGCGTGTCTAAGTCACGGAATCCAGTTTTATATTACCTTAATAACCATCTTGTTGCCTAAAACATAGCATTGTTTTGAAACATGTGACCGACTCATAGCAAGTGTTAACCAGGCTTGAGAAAAACTCTGGACAGCAGGGTTAGTCGTGACATGGTGTTACAACCAAGCTGCCTGTAGAGTACAATGATACTGGATTAAAAATAGCTAAATGCAATTCAGTTCAATTCCATGGGCTTTATTGGCATGAAGATTTCAAGAATAATATTGCCAAAGCATCAAAATATGGGTTTTCAGGTTTGAGTTTTTTCCCCCCTCAGATTGAACTCTGTTAGACTTTTTGACTCCCAAACAATGTTGTGTGGCTCGTTAATGCGTTTAAAGAGAGAGATCCATAAGCAGTATCCCCGTGTCATATATAGATAGAATTGTATTGAATTAATTGCATTCAAACATTCTTTCCTAGCAAGCGTTACAATTAACATTTCAGTTTTGTTTCAGTTTTTCAGTATTTTTGAAATTATGCAGCCAAAACCAAAATGTGTTAGGTTGTGCCCTGCAGTCCTTACAGCTTCGAAAAAAAATAAACGAATAAAAAATCTGTGTTGCTTGCTATTGGCTGAGCCTTAGGGTGGGTTAAGATCAAGATTGGGTGGGCCAGACCCACCCCGGCTCCCCTGTGGGGAAATAAAAGTATCCCAAGCCTTCACTCCCTGAGCTTGTCTGATCCATCTCCACCCTGCGGTGACTTTGATGGCTGGACTCGTGACTCCCTGGCTTGGCCTTTCTTGGCCAGTTCAAGCTTAGTATGCAGAGTATGCCGCTCTGGTCCTCTCACAGTCAATGCCCAGGGACGTGTAGAAGAAGACAAGTATGTACATACTTCAGTTCTGACAGCTGAAAGATTCTCTTCCTCTTGCCTAAACCGCTAATAGGTGCAGGTGATGATTTTTAGAGCTTATTCCAAATATTCCAAAATTCACACATAAAATATGACAGGCGATTTTGAGGTTTTCTGATTATAGTGATCAAATTATTTTACTAATTGTTATGGAGCATGTGACCGGTATAATGAATAATTATTCTGACTCATACCTTTATGGAATCTGTGTACAAATAATGCATTATGACTGTTCAAGAAAACAAGTGTATCAACAAGGCTGATGACAACATGAATGTTCATAATCACGATACAATATTTTATAGATATATATTGCCCAGCCCTAGTTAACTGTGGCCCTGTACTAGATAAGCAGCTATGAAAGACTCTTCATTATGACAGGACACAACAACCCATCATCAACTGGAACAAAGATGGTGGAGAGGATTTATTCAGGACTAGTAAATCATCCATGATCATCTTCAATAGCCCAGATATAGATAATGCTCTAAATCATTACAGTTTTCACCGTCATCACAATATAGAAGGTTTATATTTTCATAGTTTTTAATTCTTTTAATCTGGAAGACCCCTGACAATGGAAGAAAAGTAATCTTAAGAATTGTAACGAGTTCATTTAACCTTGAAGATAAAAATTAATGGTTTACATGTAACACAACTTATCCTCAATCATTGTCTTTGCCTTCTCAGCGTATTCCCTTGTTTCCGAGGATGGATACTTGGAAATCAAGGATATTTCCAGGCACAGAGCGGGAACATATGAGTGCTCAGCAATCAATGACGTATCTACAGATGCAAAAACTATTGAGTTAAAAGTCAACTGTGAGTTAATCAGTGTTTCTGTTTCTGTCCATATTAACTAAATGTAAATTATTATCAGTATGTCAATGCTTCAGTATTACTATCCGATGGTCATTACATTCCCTCACTGCTGGCTGCAGATCCTCCTACCTTGATGGAGGTGAAGGATGTTGGTGTTCCCGTTGGCCAGCAGGCTGTCCTTGGTTGTGAAGCGGAGGCTGAACCTGCAGCAAATTTTGAGTGGTACAAAGATAATGAAAGGTAACCATGGGAACTCATCCAGCTGTAGCCAATCTTTTTAACTCCTGATCAAATTATACAATGATCGTTTACTAATATGGTCTTTTCCTTGATTGTGATATTTTTATGGTTTTGGTCAGAATTAAAGGTGCCCTATGTGATGTCAATCCTCAACCAATCACTTTGCAGGGTGATGAGTGGCTCTTACAACTCTGAGGTAGAAAGCCAGGGCAAACTTTCAAAGCTGATCTTCTTCAACGTGTCAGAGGCTAATTACGGAAACTATTCATGTGTTGCCAAAAACAACCTTGGTATTGCAAATGCAAGCATGGTTCTCTATGGTAAGTAAGGATTATTATCTTTGAAACTCCTCAGAATGCAACTTCTGTTTGCAGTATTTTATTGGCTATGACTTATGTACAATATATGCAATATCTATTCATTGCTGTTTTTTACACAAGGAGAATAAACAGGAGAATTATAAACTCTAAATATGGTTGATAAATCTTCCTCATTTACAATAATTATACAAAATGGTAACTTTATTTGAGGGGACATGAATAATGTAGTACATGTTTACTTAATGCATTAATTAACCATTAACTAAGTACTAATCCCATGTTCATTCGTAATTAATCAATTCAGTTCATGCATTTCATAGGGAACCCCATATTAGTTCATGATTTGTTCTTGAGTAGTAAATGAGTTAAGTAATTTTTGCCCTCTCGTGAAGTCTTACCATTATTAACTAATTAGTTAACTGTTAATTAATATAGTGCCTGAATGGAAGATTTTCATCGTTGAATCAGATTGCCTGAAATCATGCAACTTATTAACATTTTTGTAAATGATGAGTAATGTTTAATTGGAGGACAGCACTTTGCCTTTCTGGTTCACGTGTATTTCTGCTCCAAAGTCTGCAAGTTCTCACTGAGTGTAGGATATGTTATATATTATTTTGCTTCATTTTATGTGTTCTTTACTATAAAAGCTACCAAACGCTCTGTTTTACAAGGTTAGTGAGCATGCAGTTCTGGATGCATAAATACGCACACGTGTGATACACTTTGTACTATCTACTTCGATGCGTGGCCATTTGACAAAAGCAGTACAATCTACACACATAGATTATAGACATATGCATGTGTAATGTGTGATGTATTACTCATAAAAATGCACGTTTAACACAAGCTGTACCATCAATATAATCACACACACACACACACACACACTTATATGTGTGTGTGTTTGTGTGTGTACGCATGTGTCCGTGTGTGTCTGTGTGTGTGTGTGCGTGTGTGTGTGCGTGTGTGTGATGTACACACACAGGGGAGTCACAGGGGCATGGATACTGTGGAAAATTCAGATTCAGAGGGCTCCCCCCCCTGTATGTAAATATGTGACGTATGTGATTCACAGTTAATGGCTCAAAATCAGAAATTGCTGCCATTTTTGCTATTATGTAATCTGTGTGTGAATGTGTGTTTCAGAAAAGGTAAATGCATTTATATTAACATTTTTTTTTCTTTTGATATTTAAAACCTCAACATAACCTGGCTGAATGTTGCTGGTATTTGTAACAGAATCTTCATGTAAGTATCCATTCTTCATTTTTATTTTTCTGTATTTCATGTGTCTCTGTGGATGTTGTTTAAGAAATAGTACTTCCTTCAAAAAACAGCGAAATTAACCCAAGATCTGTCTGGCATATTAAGAATGTCTTCTGGAGACATGCAAATTCAATTAAAGAAACAGAATCAGAGCATCTCAATCATTTTTCCATCTGATGATGATAACCATTGATAACAGATAACAGTTGATAAAAGAAATTTCGGTTTCAGTTAAGTTTGTGCTAGGGGATTTAGTGAATGCAAAAATATTCATGCTGAAAATATGCTGTTACTTTTACTTTCATTACATTACAGAAATGATTCTTTTTTTGCATCATATCATTATTTTTACCATATAAAACACATAAAATCATATTAGTACATCTGTCCTAAATGTGACTGCAGTCTCTAAATATTATTTAAAGCTATGATTTGTATTTTTGGTCAGCTTCTCTGATTCCATAGGAAGTTTGGTGTGCAGTTATGTGTGAGAATTGTCATTGAGGCTCATGATGTAACCATGGAGTTGTCACGCTGGGGACAGTGTATGTCTCAGTGAGCTACAGATCTGTTCCTGTGTCTAGTAGGTCGTGGGTTCAGATCCTACAGCCAGCAGAGTAATCATCACCGTTGGGTCCTTCAACAAGATCCTTAAGCCCAACTGGTCAAGGGATACTGGCTGCTTTCTAACCCGAAGCTGTCATTACTTAGAAGTCACTGCCACTTGTCTTTTAAAGGAGACAAAAAATAGATGCTGAATACTAGGATTCATACAAAATAATAAAACATAGCTTAAAAGATATTGTGCTAATAATCTTTTCAGTCAAGACACGTGGTCATTTGTGCGTTAAAGCTGTTGTGTTTCATAGGATATGCAACTGATGGGTGTTTGTAATAAGTCGACATGTTACCGTGATAAGAACATCATCTGTTCTGATTTTGATAAAAACAGTGGCGGCTATTGTGTTGGTGGGTTAACGGCATGGCAGTGGTGCCCGTTTGATAATGGCCACGGCTCTTGTTGAGTGTCCACTCTCCTTGGCAGGGCTCATGTCAGTGCAGGAGAGGAGCGGAGGCACCATGATGGAATATTCCCTCACCAGTCTACTCGTCATCGTCCTCGCTCAGGTCTTGCTGAAGTTTTGATGTCGTCCTTGACCAGAAGGATGCCAGCTTTGGTGTGATGTGTTATTCTTATAGACTGTAGAATGATGCCTTCAAGCACAAAAGTAATATTTATTAGCAATGATTTTTGTTTTTGCAATCTAATATCAAATTATGATCAGCTAATATGTTTCTTTTGGACTGATTGTGTCATTACTGAGTATACCTTCATGGAATTATATCAATGCCGAATAATAGCTTTCAAGGTAAATACAATATGAAATTGTTTTGTCACCTCTCATCAACGTTGAACATTTTGATGGTGAGCATTTGTCAGTAATATTTAGTGTTTACTGAGAAATATTTGATTTAAACCTTCAGTTCTTCTTGCTTTTTTGGTACTAAATCTAGTGTTTTGTTTATTTTTGTTTGCTTACATGGCATATGTAAGAGATCGTGTTATGCACATCTTACTTAAGTTTTTTAATTGCTAAGTAATGATCATTCAGTTTCACAGAGTATCTGAGCAAGGCATCTGATTATTATTTCGTGATCGGAAAGCACTCCTTGGATGATGCTAATATATAATATAAAGAAATTGGTGATGGAAGAAATACTTTTGGACAAAGTAATTTGTTAGTATTTTTTTTCATGTGAAATACTATTAATGATTCATACTTTGTCACCGTAGTCTTCAGTCTATGTTGTTGTCTGATGCTGCTAAAATAGGCTTTCAGCTGCAAGTACCACCTTCAAAAGCTGTGGCCTATTCACCAAACCCATGGTTACAATGATGAACTGTACTGCACAGATTTTGGTTTCATGCAAACCTATATGCACTGAATTTATGCACTAAATTGTGGCAATATGCAAAAAAAAGAAATGGATTTATTAACACTGAAGTAATTTATTTAAATATTCTGAATATGTTAAAATCCCCAGTTAAAAATTTTGATGTGTTTTCCAGTACCAGCCTTAGCCGATGTGGCACCCCAGGCGATCATCAATGCTGCCCCCCCCTACCGAGGCAAACTGAAATTGGGGGCAAGTCGGCGCCCTAGGCGGCCGCCTATGTTGCCTGTAGGATTGACCGGCCCTGGTGTGCTCTAAGTAAAATATTACTTGTTGGTGTATATGGTAAACTTTGCATGTCACATTTTGGTGCATATGTTTGTTTGTTGAAGAAGGGAATGTTTTGTTTGTCCAGAAGCATTGTATAGATAAATCCCAACACAAAGGCTCCCAAAATGAAAACAAATATGCAACCAAACAAGCATCAATGAATAAATCAATAATGAATGTGCATAATACATCGCAGGTGGTATACTAAATACACTGTTGAGATGTCCTTCTAGTAATATTCTGTGATGGGTTAACGTATTTGTTTCATTCCAAATAAAAAACACACACAATCCCAACTTTGGTTCTATGTCTTTTTTTAAAATGTAACATTTATCTTGATCTCTGTGTGAGAAACAGTAGCATAATGCAATATTCTTATGTAGAATTTAGAGAGTCTACTGTTAGATGATATTTTAAAAATCATTTGGCAATTATGGAGAGATTCTTTCCACCTGAGCACTAAATCACAAGGTTTTCATGCTGTTAAAATTGTGTGCATTTGCAATAATTTGTTACAAAACATGTTGATCTTGATGTTAAAAATTTGTCCTGCATCCAAGAATACTTGATAGATTGGTCATGTGTGGCTGGTGTCTAATCCCTCTAATAGAGATGCTGAGTATCACTGTTTCATGACACTTATACCTGCTTTAGATTGCAGTTTACCAAGACATTTCCAGATGCTTTAGTCTGGCTGTCAATACCCTAGATCACACATTGAGAGGAACAGACGTTGGCTTAATTTCAATCAGTTGCAGGAGGTTGAAAGCTTTCTTGATAAAACAAATCTGCCAATTCTGTTGACCAAACACAGGCACAGAAGGTCCCGATTTCCACCACAGTTTGCATAACCAGATGAGTACGCATCTGGGTGATTTCCCAGCCACTGTCTGTGTTTCTGATACAGGGGACAATGCTACTGAGGAAAACCTTTATTTTCTAATCGGCCCTCCAACACAGACCAAGAAAAATACCTACTTGTGTGTGAGTGACCTGTGATGGACTGGATTGTCCCCCTGGCTGGTATCCTACCCTGACTGGAATAGACTTCAGGCTGTCCCATGATCCTGTACTGCAGCTCTCAGTATGACGTGTGTTATTACTGATGCACGTGCACCCCCTGTTAACTCACTCGCTCCAGGATTGCCAGATTGTATGGAAGGTAGATAATTATGTAAAATCAAGACAAAAATAGGCTCATGGAAGTTTTACTTACACAAAAATGTTCTGAGGGCAGAATGAAAAATGATTGGTTCAGAGAGATAACCAATCAGATTGTAGAGGAGGCAATGCGAGGAGACGGGACCAAGACATTTGATCAGCTGGTCCCACCTCCTTTGCAATCTGAAACTGAAAACTCCCATGAGCCAAAAATAGGCTGGAGTTGTTTGGGCCTATTCCTCTCAAAATGCAATATTACTGTTTTCGTTTTAAAGACACTCGCTCCATCAGTCGCCCTCAACTGCACTTACAACCTTAGATCAGTTTAGTGCTGTGCAATTTTTGATTGCAAAAGAACACTGGATGTTAAATTGAGCCTCGCTATCAACATAATTGCCAGGCACTTCCACAGGCTTGTGTTAATGTTCTCCACTGCTATTAAGCTTCTAAAATAGACCACAGCCTGCATAGTGCTAATAATAAGCTATTGTATGAAGGGATAGAGTCAGGTGACTGGGTCTAGTCATGCTGATTTGTTCCACCTGTTCCTCACAAGAAGTATGACTTCCTGCTCTTTGTTAATTTTGGCCCTTGGCATTGTTGATATTCATTAGGCTAGTCTAACGGGCTTTTGCCTGTGACTCTGTGTCAAATGTCCACCCCGCAGTGTTTAAAAGATGGCTAAGAGATGCTGGTACACTGAACAGCACTGTATGACTAGGCACAAGTCAGTCTGCAGGTGGTTGATGTAGAACTGACTCACCCCTTGCCAAGGCAGCAAAAGAAAAGACGCATTCAGCTAAAGTAAGGAGGATTTTAGAAAAAAAGAGATCTCACTAGAAACCAGTAATAATTAAGTCGAGAAAAAAAGAACAATTTCTTTCACCAAAAAGTGACAACAGGAAAAATGTCTCCTTATAAGGCTTTACCTCTGAGGGCTTTGTTTTCTGGAGTCGGGTAGAAACCTTGGTTTCATTTTGTAATGTAGGCTCATCTTTTATTTAACTCCATATATTAGACATGCTTCCTATAGTTTTGAAATATTTCAAGATGTTATTGTGCTAGACACAGAAAAACGAGCACACGCATTTGTCTGTAGCAAATTAAACTAGAATACTGCAACACCTCTGTCTGGGAGCCAGCATACCGCTCGTTCTGGTCCACAGCAAATCGAAAATGTCGTGGTAGGAGTTTTAGCCATAGGAAGAACACACGGTTTGTTAGCAGTCTTGATGAGTCTTGAGGTCAGAACGGACTTAAACTCTCCTCAGTTGTAAAGTGCTGCAAGGGGGCTGACTAATGTGTACTATCCAATTTATACTTACAGATCACAGAATGCCGACTTCCTCGTAATTCCTCGAGTAAATAATTGTTGACAGTAAAGCCTTCACCCACTGGAATCCTACCAAGAAAACGTTCTGGCTGCTAATCTGACGGATGCCCCGTGGTCGCAGTGTTTACATGCAACAATTAGTGCATCTGTGCACTAATTATCTCTTTTGGGAAGAGGCTATAGAAAAGCAAACTGAAATATATCGGGCTCTTTCAAAATCGTTCAAAACATTTATTTTCCCTGCAAAATTGGTTTCGTTTTGTCAGCAGCGAGTGAGCATTCAAATGACGAGCAACACCAGTATAGATTTTGCTTGTGAATTGAAAGAGCATTTCACATTTTTTAGGTCACTTGCATTAAATATTTCCATGCTGAACTTTCCATTTAATGTACTATGCCTCCGTTATATACCTGTCTCTTTAACTTTGGAATGGAATATGAACGAGGCTGGACTATCGATAGAGTTTACGCCATTTACATATTCGGAATTAGATGTATATCCAAAGGCAAGACAAAATGCCATGACAGAGGCGAGAGGGAAGTGTTTGCGCTTTGTCCTTGGAGGGCAGGCAGCAGTGTGATTAATGACGTGACAACCGCTTTCCTTCAAACGTCCCTTTTCCCCTTGGAAGGTGCCATGCAGAAATCAGTAATAAGCCGTTCAGTGCTGGCCGAAAATATGAAACCGTTTTACTCCAAAAAAGCTAATAATGTTAAACGTTATCCTTGTAGCCTAATTAATCTAACATAAAGGTATTTCCTGTAATATGTCTTTAGCCATATTCGTTATATTTTAATATATTCACTAAATGCAACAATAATGAGAATAATGATCACAGCACACTTTTTTCCTGCACCACATGTTAACATTTGATTATCTGCTTGAGGATAAACCTCCAAGAGCCGAACTCTATAATCTCATCATATAGTTTATAAATATATGTCTTAATTTACAGGACCAAAGCCTGCTGATTCTGTATACATGGCAAACACATCATTATGAAGGGACCATGCATAATGAAACAAGCATAATGACTGAAAAGAACACAATATATTATCATAATGATATATCATCATACACGTCTTTCACTTATTCAAGCATAAAGACACTTTTATTCTACGTTGGTGTATATTATGACATAAAGAAGTAATTGTGCGTTGTAGATATCGAGCACGTGTCTTAAGCTGAATACTGTACATCGGGACAGCTTAATCTACGACAGGGTTTGAGGGTTTAAGAACTTTTAATGTCCCAAAATATACAGTACTACTGATTAGACTGGTAACCTGTAGCGGAAGGTGCTTGACATTTTCTCTCTCTATTTTTTAAAAATTTAATTATAATATGTGTTTATTTACTAGAGATATCTAAACTGAGAGGTCATGCCAGAATATGATTATAAACTTATAGCAAACCTGAATAGTTGAATTACAATATGACTGTGATGGGGTTGAATTAAAGTGTGACATGTTTCAGACAACAATGCAAAATAATAACTTATGAAACGTTTTTTTAAAAAATTTCGATATCAAGATGGGAATGTGTATTTTCATTACTATGTCACATCACATCAACAATTGTCCCAGGAATTTGGGAGGGGGGTCCCTTAGTTTATTTTGCCACCAATGAACCAGTTGGTCACCAATAATAATCCAATTATTTTTTACCTGGAATCCCACCGAAATCGACTGACAGGTTGGGTGCCCCTGGTACATAGGCTATATAATGTTAGGGTTGAGAATGATAGACCAGCTCTCTCAAGACTGGCTGACCGGGAAAATTCAAAGCAACTGCCATTTTATTGAAATACTAGAGAAAATTAATTCCAGCAGTATAGCATTATCATATTTAAAATACAGTCTATTCATAACGTAAATAAAGCTTTACACCTTAGCTTTGTCTGGGTAATTCTGGTGGCAGACCATTACACACAGGATATCACTTCAATAAGCAATTTAAATAATTCAATAGTTGAATTAATTATGTCTGTAAATAAGCCTGGGGCCGCAGCTCTGAGGTTGTTAGAAGCTGGAGATCAGCTGGATCACCTAGTTTTTGTTTGTGTGGATGGTCACATTTCCAGTGTGGTTAGGTCTACATGTAACATAACTCGTTTAAATGTTTTTTTAGAACATTTGCAACACATACTACAGTGCTGAAATATGACACAGCAAGGAAAGATACAGTATATAGCAAAAATCATGTTCCGGCATTGCAAGCTTGTTTGGCCAATTAATACTGTCGTATTAATACAATTAAAAGCAATAAAAAACAAAATTACGGGCCAAACTTAAATGCCCTGTAAAACAATATTTGAATAATCACTGATTTCACACATATCTTTTTCTATTTGTTAATTGGACGAGTCAGAGTTCCCTTTAGCCTAACTGTTCAGTGTAATCTAGACTCACTGTTCATTGTAATCTAGAATCACTGTACAGTGAAATCTATCTTCACTATTACATGTAATTTGGACTCACTATTTGGTGTATTTGACATTTACAGTATAAACCCATGATTGCAAAGTTCCTGTAAGTCTGTAAAATTCCTCTTATGGACCGCTATCTGACTTTACCTCTATAAAATACTTGTAAATAATGTGAACCCTGTAAGGTATTTAACTGATATCTCATGTGCAGGAATTCAACATGTATATTGTATTTCAGAATACTGGGTATAATTTTTGTTTTTTATTTTGCGGGGTAGTCAGTTGGCACTTGGTAACCTGGTATTTTGTTTTTGTTTTTTTCGGTCTTGTGATAAATGCATCCGACTCGGTTGTGGCGTTAATT